TTTATTTTTTAATGATCACTCAACTCATGTCTAAATCTGTAATGTTGAATAAGGGCAATGGTTCATGAGGGAAAGAGTAACTCAATATTGGTGAGTGGAGAAAGTGGTGCTGGTAAGACAGAGACCACTAAGATGCTTATGAGATACCTTGCTTATCTTGGTGGCCGTAAAGGAACCGAAGGTCGGACGGTAGAACAACAAGTTCTTGAGGTAGAAAAAAATACATGTCTTCTGGTTTTTACTGTTTCATGGTTGAACTTTTTGTCGGTAATTTTCCATTACTTGTGTATTTTGGTTTTATATAACCTGCTACTCTTAATACTGAGTTGATGGGTTCAAGCATTCATGAAACTTGTTCTTACGGAAGTGTAGCTTTCATGAATATTATTATTATACCTTAACCTCTGATACATCTATAATTCTTTTGTGCATTTTAATGCAGTCAAATCCAGTTCTCGAAGCATTTGGAAATGCAAAAACTGTCCGAAACAACAACTCAAGGTGAGCATTTGGAGTTCTAGAGTTCGTTTTTATGCTCCTGATCTTATAACATCTTTTTTAATACCAATCTGGTGCCTAAAATTGTTTTATAAAAATTTTACAATATTGGTACAGTCGTTTTGGTAAATTCGTGGAAATTCAGTTTGACAAGCACGGAAGAATATCTGGAGCAGCCATCAGAACATATCTTCTCGAGAGATCTCGTGTCTGCCAAATTTCAGACCCTGAACGCAATTATCACTGTTTCTACCTCCTTTGTGCAGCACCACAGGAGGTAACAATTAATATGCTTCCTTCACACCAGCATTTCAAGAATTCGGCAAATTTTGATATATTCGTCAATTTCGTCTGAGTTGTTTTTTTCTTTATGTCTTATCAGGAAATCGAGAAGTATAAGCTGGGAAATCCAAAAACATTCCACTATCTGAATCAATCCAACTGTTTTGAACTCGTTGGTATAAGTGATGCCCATGATTATTTGGCTACAAGGCGTGCCATGGATATTGTCGGGATAAGTCAAAAGGAGCAGGTAAAACCGTAAATCATATTTATCCTTTTTGGTATTTTTCGGATGGTGCTATAAGCTTTTCTCAAGGGGTCTAAAGTTTTTTTCTCTCACTCTTCAGGACGCAATTTTCAGAGTAGTGGCGTCTATTCTCCATCTCGGTAATATTGAATTTGCTAAGGGGAAGGAAATTGATTCATCTGTTCTGAAGAGTGATCAGGCGAAATTCCATCTTCAGACAGCAGCCGAGCTTCTCATGTATTCTTTTAACTCCTAATTTCGCATAAGTACTATTTACAAGGGAATTTTTATCTAATTCTTTTCCCCATTTTTTTAAGGTGTGATCTTAAAGCACTGGAAGATGCATTATTGAAACGTGTGATGGTGACTCCAGAAGAAGTTATTAAGAGAAGTCTCGATCCTGATGGTGCACTAGTTAGTAGGGATGGTTTGGCCAAGACAATTTATTCTCGCTTGTTTGATTGGTATGATAATAGAGTTTGGTGGTTCATCTGATATTTCTGTGTTTTTATTGGTTTGGTCAAATTTGACTCGAGAGTTGTAAAAATTTACAGGTTGGTGGACAAGATAAATAACTCGATTGGCCAAGACCCAACTTCAAAGTCTCTAATTGGAGTTCTTGATATATATGGTTTCGAGAGTTTTAAAAATAACAGGTAAGCATTATTTAGTTGATAACACTGGCAAGCAAATGTCTAATCGAATCAATCTTATTTTTGTGTTTGGGCGAGCTGATTATATTTTTCATGATTAGTTTTGAGCAGTTTTGTATTAATTTCACGAACGAAAAGCTGCAGCAACACTTTAATCAGGTACGCGGTTGACATTTTCTTTTTAGAGCATTTTAATATGTCCATATAAAAAAAACGCATGCTGAAAATTGTATAAATTCGCGTTTCAGCATGTGTTCAAGATGGAGCAGGAGGAATACACGAGAGAAGAGATTGATTGGAGCTACATAGAATTTGTTGATAACCAAGATGTCCTAGATCTTATTGAAAAGGTGGGCTTAATTGATTCAAACCTGATTGCCATTGACTCCAAGTCTCATTTAACTTGAATTACATTATTAGTTGTTTTATTTAATTGTCAGAGTTTGTTACTATGTTCTGTTTATGATTATTATCATCATCTATAGGACTTTACTCGGCTTTATGAAGCTCAATAATGAAGCTCAATAAAGTTATTCAAACTCTACTCTGCCTAAATATACATCTATATTTTCTTATTGACTACACTATTTAATTACGAATAATTTTCAACGGCCCTTGCAGAAACCTGGAGGTATCATTGCCCTTCTTGATGAGGCCTGGTAAGGTTCTTTTTTTTTTTTTTTTTTTTTT